GGCCGTGGGCGGGCCCCGGGGTGAGGCGGAGGCGCCCCTGGGTGCTGCGAGGGCGCGAGCTGGAGGGATCGGGGCCGGGGTCTCCCAGCGCTCGCCCCGACGGGGCTGGGGAGGAGGCGTCGCGGGGCTCCCGCAGGAAGGGTGTCTCGAGATCGGCTCTTGCGTGGGGTGGGGCGCGCAGCTTTAATCTGCGTTTGCGGAGGAGAGAGGCTGGGGCTGCCTTCCTGGTCCCGGATCGCGGAGAGCCAGGGCGGGGCAGAGGACGGGAGCCCGACTCCCGGGACTCCCTAGGAGCCCCTGCCCTCCCTCTCTCCCCAGAACATGTCTCCCGAGGAGCGGACCTATCTGGTGGTTCTTCTCATCTCCATCCCGATCGGCTTCCTCTTTAAGAAAGCTGGTGAGTCAGGTGTCCCCCCGGTGGAGAGTGAGGGGAGGCGGGCGGCGGCGGGGGGCGAGGAGGGAGCCCCGAGGTCGCAGGCTCACGCCGACCTTTCCCCGCAGGACCCGGGCTGAAGAGATGGGGCGCGGCGGCCGTGGGCCTGGGGCTCACCGTGTTCACCTGCGGCCCCCACACGCTGCACTCTCTGGTCACCGTGCTGGGGACCTGGGCGCTCATTCAGGCCCAGCCCCGGTGAGCCGGCGGAGGCGGAGGGGAGGGAGGGGACCCCGCCTTCGGGTCTGCACTCCTGCCCCAGCCTGGATGCCTCCTGCTCTCTCCTCGCTCCCTGTCCCTCGTGCGTCTGATTTTCCTCTCCTCCTGCTTGGCTCAGCTCCTGTGGCTCCGTGTGCCCCTGCATTCTGTGCCCCCCCCCACAGCGCTGCCGCTCAGCGCCCGCCCCCCCCCCCGCCCGGCCCTCGCGCCCTGTGGGTCTTGGTGGTGAGGACCCAGGAGGAGGAAGTCTCTCCCTGAACCCTCAACTCGCTCCGTCCTCCCTTCCCTGTGCTCTCTTCCCCACTGGAATTTTCTGTCTGAACTCCGAGTGCTGGGGGAGGACTTCTCTGACATTCGGAGGAGGGCCAGCGGACCCGAGACCCCACACCCACACCGCGCCTCCGCCTCTCCCCCAGCTCCTGCCACACCCTGGCTCTGGCCTGGACCTTCTCCTATCTGCTGTTCTTCCGAGCCCTCAGCCTGCTGGGCCTGCCGACTCCTACGCCCTTCACCAATGCCGTACAGCTGCTGTTGACGCTGAAGGTCAGCCTGGACTCCCACGCCCCCAGCCTCCCCGTGGTCCGGCTACCTACTCGCACCTCCCGGCCCTTCCCAGCGGGCGGGGTGGGGATTTTATCTCACAAACCCCGAGTGTGGGAACAGGGCTCACCCCTCATGTCCCAGAGCGGCTCTTCACCGCTCCACGCTTTCTGGGCTAAGGAAAGAGCCCGATTGCTGTAATAGGAAGAGCTCTTTGGCACCTGGACTGTGCCTCTTGACCCTGCTTGGCCCACACAGTGCTTAAAGCTCTGTAACAAAGTGCTTTGCAGAGTTGGAAAATTAACTTTAGGGAGTAGGTGTGTGGCCAAAGGTGTCAACTGGGACAGCCAGGCGTGGCTCCTCCCACCTGGGAAGGTAGGTGGAAGGGACTCCCAGGCCCTGCCCCAGATCTGGCAGGTCCTGAGCTTCTGCTCTGTTCTGGGATCCGGTGACATTAGTAAGAACGGTCACACAAGGTGGAGAACTGACTTCTCCAGGGTTCTGTGTTCTCACCGGGAGCTGGCGCGTAGGCAGGAATCAAGTGCGAGGAGACTTGCAGGAAGACCATTTCGGGATGCTTTGGGACCACGGGCCACGGTGTGTGGGACGGCCAGTGCCGCAGACTGTGCCAGCCACGTCAGCTCCCTGCAGAGCCCGCAGGGCAGTGGGCAGCAAGGGCCGGGCCATGCAGGGCCTTGTCAGCTGTGGCAGGAGTTGGGACTTCCTTCTGGGGGGGACCAGCGTCCCCTGGGAGAAGGAGTTTGGTTTGTTGCCAGAAAAGAGAATGCGATTGCTTTTGCATGTTTAGAACATTAAAATACCCTGAGCCAGTTGTGACGCACACCCTTTATCCCCCAGGCTCCAAAGGCTGTGGATGTAGCCCGGGGATATGTGCCCCACCTAGCATGTGGGAAGCCCTGGGTGCAATCCCCAGACCCACAACAACTTAAGAACACACACCCTAGATACTGAGAGAGTTGAAGTGGGACAGGCCAAGATGGAGTGAGATAGGGCTCCCTTATCAGAGACCATGTGACAGCGGTGGCAGCTTGATGTGCTCAGTCAGCTGTGGTTGGCAGCCCAGGGCCCTGACGGGAAGTGCTGCTCCAGGACAGCTGGAGGGGTTTGTCTGCAGCGGGGTGGGCAGCATGGAGGAGAAGGGAGTGCAGGGACCGTGGGTCAGGGCACCTGGGGGAGGCAGGTCCTGGAGAGGGAAGGAAGAGGTGATGGATAGAGGCCTCCTTCCGCTGGAAACCAGCCCTGCAGCTCAGTCTCCCAGGGGAAGAACAGCCCAGCGCTCACCATCCTGCCTTCCTCACTGTCCTGTTGGGCCCTTTGTCCACCAAACGCAGCAGGAAGCCAACAGACGCACCTGCGCCCCAGGGCCAGCCCGGGCCCTGTGGGACGGTAGAGGGTAGATCTGGAAGGGCGGGTGGGACATCCTCAGCCCCGCAGTGGAGGTGCGGAGAAGGAGACAGACAGAAAGCTGAGCGGTTGGGTGCAGAGCGGTGCGGCTTCTGGCCTGAGCAGCTCACTGGATGGGGTGGCCGCTCTGCTGGAGAGACGGGAAGATCTGCCTCGGGCAGTGGGTGACACTGCTCCCTTTTGGACGCATTACAGCTGGCAAGTCTGGAAGGCTCCAAGTATGAACGGTGACTGGGCAGCTTGCTGGGGCTCTGGGCTCGGCGAGGTCCAGATTGGGGTAGTGTTTGTGTGTGATTGGCTTGTGGACCGAACCTAAGGCCACAGGACTGCATGAGCGCACATGGGGACAGCTGGCGGAGAGAGAGGAGGCCCAGGATGGAGCCGGAAGGGTCTCCCACCACTCCGGGTGCCCAGCCTCCCCTCGAGCGGGCCCTCCCCTGCTGCGGGGAGCGCCTCCAGCTGTCCGCAGGCAGCCCTTGTTGTGGGGGCTCTGAGCGCCCTACTGCAGCCCTGAGGGAGGTGCCGCTGACCGCTCTGCCTGCCCACCCCCAGCTGGTGAGTCTGGCCAGTGACGTCCAGGACCTGCACTTGGCCCAGCGGAAGGAAATGGCCTCGGGCTTCAGCAAGACGCCCGCCCTGGGGCTGCTGCCCGAAGTTCCCTCCTTGATGGAGACGCTGAGCTACAGCTACTGCTACGTGGGGATCATGACAGGTGAGCGGCCTGCCTGACGCATGGCCTCTGCCCCTCGCGCTCACTCTCTGCCTGGAGTTGCGTGGTGTTCCGTGTCCGCTCCGCTGCCCCGGACTGTCCCCACTGCTCCTGGACTGTCTCTCCCATGGGCCTGTTATGGGTGTGTGAATCTCACACACGTGAGCTTTTTGTGAACATGTGAAGTTTGCACACCCACATCTGCTCCTCCCTAGGCCGCAGCACCACCATGTCTCCAGGGCCACTGTTTCCAGGCCTGCTGGGCTGGGAGCTCCCTGCAGTGGATTCTTTAGGCAAAGCCGGGCCTCTTGCCTGCAGGCCTGGGTTTCCCTGTCCCTACCCCACCCTACCCCACCCCATCCCACCCCACCCCACCATCTCTCCAGCTGCTCTACCTTCTGTGACTTACCTGAAGGTCTCCCAAGGTCAAGGTCTTGTCTGTCTGTCTCCACCTATCTTAACCTCAGTCCTCACTCCTAGGGTCATTGTCCCGCCTTTCTGTCTGTGCTGTCTGGGTCTCCCTCCCTCCCTCCCCTTCTCCCTCTTAGTCTCTGACCACCCGTGTCTTCTGCCCCTGCAGGCCCGTTCTTTCGCTATCGCACCTACCTGGACTGGCTGGAGCAGCCCTTCCCGGAGGCCGTGCCCAGCCTGCGGCCCCTGCTCCGCCGGGCCTGGCCGGCCCCGCTCTTCGGCCTGCTCTTCCTGCTGTCCTCCCATCTCTTCCCACTGGAGGCCGTGCGCGAGGACGCCTTCTATGCGCGCCCACTGCCCGCCCGCCTCTTCTACATGATCCCAGTCTTCTTTGCCTTCCGCATGCGCTTCTACGTGGCCTGGATTGCTGCTGAGTGCGGCTGCATCGCTGCCGGCTTTGGGGCCTACCCTGTGGCCGCCAAGGCCCGGGCCGGGGGCGGCCCCACCCTCCAATGCCCACCCCCCAGCAGGTCAGGCGAAGGGAGGGAGGCTTCCCAAGACTCAGCAGGCCCTGGCACCAAGGGCTGGCCCTGCTAGGCTGGCCCTGCCCCCAGCAGGGAGGGCAGTGGGGAGCAGGGCAGGGCCACCACACGTGGCCAGTGGTCGGTCACCTCCGGCGACCACCACCTGCCTTCCCTTGTCAGTAGGGGTCCAGTGTTCTTGGTACCTATTCATTGCCCCCTGTTGCTAGCACTTGTCACCCCTCAGTATGGTGAGACCCCCTCTGTTGCTAGAAAAGGAAGGTGGTATCCTAGCAACCACAGACCACCCCGTATTGCCATGGAAATGTCACCCCCAAAACCAGATTATTCCTGGCTGCTGGGGATGCCATGCTTTGGTAGTGGTAGGTCATCCTCTGTTGCTAGGGGAATGGTTGCTTAGCAACTCAGCCGCCCTCTCTGCTAGGGAAACAATATCCCTAGCAACTCTAGTTCTCTTTTTGTCAGAAGTCCTGCTCTTCGGGGCTATAGAACCTGCGCCCCCTGAGCGCCTCTTGTGTTGTGGGAGCCAGTGCCTCTCCCCATGACATGATGTCACATAGCCGCTCTCAGTTGCCCTCTGTCTCCAAGGAAATAGCATCTCTCACCGTGCCCGCCTCCAGCTGGGAGGACACCATTCCCTGCAACCACAGGCCACCCCCTCCTGTTAACAGGGAAGCCAGTCCTCCCCGGTAACCGTCTTGACCCCTGTTGCTCCTGCTGCTGCCAGTGTCCTCGGCACCGACATTGCTGAGTAGGTCACGCAGGCAGTGACACAGGCGCCCCTGTTGCTGAGGAAGCGTACTCCTGAGTTGCCAAGGAAGTGGTCTCCTAGCAACTAGAAGTGGGCTGACCCTTCTAGAATCTGTTGCCAGCCTTCCACCTGGGGCTGGTGCTGGGGCAGCATTCTCCTGATGTAAATTACAAACCACTCCTTGCCAGGCTTGTTCCACCCACTCCAAGGCACAAACTGCCACCCTGTCGTGGGGTAGGGGCGCCCACTGCCCTAGTAACCACGGGCAGAGCCCCAGCTGCTAGAGAGGACGTTACCCCAGGGAAGTCAGCAGGCGTTGAAGGCTTTCTGAACCTGCCAGCCCCCCTTCTAAAGGGTGGCTCCCTTTCATCTCTGGAAGCCACCAAGGGCTCCAGCAGACGTTCTACATTGCTGGCCCGCTGGTGTCACTGTATTCCTGTAGGTGACGCTTCTCAAATGATCACAGGGACCAGGACAAAAGGCCTTTTTTGGAAGCTTTTCTGAACAGCCTGGGCCTTGTTGCTAAGGAATCCTTTGTCCATAGCATGGAGATCCTTGAGATCACCAAGCTTAGAAGTCTCCCTAGCAACCACCTCCTTTGGAAAGATGCTTCCCTAGCAACCGCACTATCCCAGGGCTCAGAAAGGACCACGCTTGGTAGGTTCTGTGAATATGCTGAGCTTGGTTGCTGAAGCACTCATAGCTTAGCAACTGTTCCCCTGCAGGCTTTCTGCAGCTGTGGCAGCCCCCCATTACCACGAAGAGAACCCCACTGTTGGTGAATGGTGCCCCACCCACCCGCCCTGCTCCCCCTGGCCTTCCTCCCCTGTTCGCTGGCAACTCTGACAGCTGGAGAGCTAGCACCTGGCCAGAGTCGCTCGTTAGTTAGTGTCAGGGGCTGGGACAAGAGTAGACGTGGGGGGGGGCGAGGTGTGCCTGGCTGAGCGGCATGTCTGTCCCCGCCCTCATCCCCACCCCCAGTCTGGAGAAGGCGGCTGCCCTGGAGTACGACTACGAGACCATCCGCAACATCGACTGCTACAACACAGACTTCTGCATGCGTGTGCGGGAGGGCATGCGGTACTGGAACATGACGGTGCAGTGGTGGCTGGCACAGTACATCTACAAGAGCGCGCCTGCCCGCTCCTACGTCCTGAGGTGAGGGCGCCCTGGGTGTTGGTTGGCGCAGCCCGTGGCATCCCTGCTGGAGCACTGCCCCTAGAGCTCATGGGAGTTGTAGTTTCCCAGGCCTGCACTGGGATAAACTGCCCACCTAGGCCTGAGGGCCTTCTCTGTAACAGTGTTGTACTGGGTCCTGTTTATCTTAGTCTTGCTGAACTACCAGGCTGGCCCTGAACTTGCAGTGCTCCTGCCTAAGGCGCTTGAGCAGCTGGGAGAATAGGAATGCACCACCTCCCCAGCCTTCTCTTCCAGTAGTTCTTGAGTAGAAACCGTGGTGGGCTGGGCATCACCTTTTAAGTCACAGAAATGGCAACTCTTTTATCACCCCCAATTTTTAAAATTCCCATTTTAAGAGAACAAGATTGAGAAAGGGTAGGCAGCCTGCTGCATGGCCCTTTGCCTTCCCAGCCAGCAGAGGAGCTCTTGAGACGCCGCAGCCCTGGAGCTAGACCTGTGTGGGGGAGGTCTGCCTTGTGGTTTAAAGATCTACTCAGCCAGGAGTGACGGCATGCACCTGTCACCTCAGTACTCGGGAGGCCGGAGCAGGAGGAACGTGTGTTGTAGGCCAGCATGTGTAATATAGCGAGATCCTGTCCCCCCCCAAAAAAATCTACTCAGTGCCTGGGAGGATCACAAGTTTGAGATCAGCAGTGGTGTCTTAGCAAGACCCTGCCTTAAAATAAAAGGGCGGGGGGCAGGCAGCGTGTAGCTCAGGGTGAAGGCCCCGGTGTAATCCCTGGTACCTGGGTGGGGGTCCTGTTGGGCTTGTGTGGAGGATGCAGTAGAGGTGGAGGAGGCAGCAGGCGCAAAATTGGGGGGGATCACGGACAGGAATCACAGGCATCCCGGTGATGATGAAGGCATGGAGCTCTCAGGAGGGAGCAGTGGCCCAGCAGTAACAAGCTTTGGGAGCAGAGCCGGGGCTCAGGGTGGGCTACACATGGGTGCTGAGGAGAGGCGTGGAGCCTGACTCCTTGCTGGCGGGTGCTGGGGTGGCAGACACAGGAGGTCCCGGGAAAGGGACGATTGAACCCAGGGCCTCCCTCATGCCAGGCAGTCCACCAGTTAGCAACACCCCCTCTTGTCCTCTTAAGGGAGGCAGGACCTGGGTCATACAGGGTGGGCAGCTCAGGACTCCTGGCCTCCCGGAGGGGCAGGGGCCGTTGGCTTCCCGATTCTCCAGGACTGGGGGAAGGCCGTGAGGGGAGAGACAGAACGTGGCCAGTGTGTGGGCTTCCAGGCCTTGGGCGGGGCCGAGGTCCTCGGGTGTTCACCAGAGGACTTGTCACGGCAGAGGCTTCCTGAGAGCCCCATGCCAGGATGTCTGATGCCAGTGGCGTGGCACCCAGGAATGTGTGCTCTAACGAGTTCCCAGGTGACGCTGCCAGGCCGCAGAGCCTGCTTTTTGACACCCCCCCGGGCCAAGGAATTGGACTTCTTGGTCCCGAGGAAGAAAGTGCTGTGGCCCGTGAGACCCCGGCGGGGGCAGAGGGCTGTGCGTAGACTTGCTGTCTCCCGACATGGGGCACTGCGTCCGGAACCTGGATTCCTGCACCCTGACTCCAGCCTCTCCCCAGGAGCGCCTGGACCATGCTGCTGAGCGCCTACTGGCACGGCCTGCACCCCGGCTACTATCTCAGCTTCCTGACCATCCCGCTGTGCCTGGCTGCCGAGGGCTGTTTGGAGTCGGCGCTGTGGGGGCGGCTGAGCCCCGGGGGCCAGAAGGTCTGGTATTGGGTGCACTGGTTCCTGAAGATGCGTGCCTACGACTACATGTGCATGGGCTTCGTGCTCCTGTCCATGGGCAGCACGCTGCGGTACTGGTCCTCTGTCTACTTCTGCGTGCACGTCGTGGCCCTGGCCTGCCTGGCGCTGGGGCTGGCTTTGGGAGGGGGCAGGCGCAGCCGGCCGAAGACGGCCTCCCAAGCCACCGGCACCGCCCCGGAGAAGCTGCGGGAGGAGTGAGCTGTCCCGGCGCGCCCCCTGCCGGCCGGTCCTGCCGCACGCGGTGCCCCGGGGACCCGCGCCGGGCCGCCGTCTCCCGTGCGCGCTGGAGTCCCGGCCAGGCCGGCGCCTGGAGAGGGCTCCCTCTTCCCTGCTAGCTGCCCGCCTTGGACTGGATGAGAGCAGAGCCGAGGCTGTGCCTCTCCCGCTTGGCCCTCTGACGTCAGGGTGCGGTCCGGACACCTGTCCCTGCCTGGCCGCAGCGTTGGAGCCGCCGTCCCGGGGCAGCAGGGAGGGAAGGCGCCGTGTGCCTTCTCGGACGCTTTCTCTTCGGGTCTCCAGCGGGGACGGCCCCGGGGCGGGTTCTGGGAGCGAGCGCCTCTTCCTGTGTCTTGTTCCATTTTTAATCTCATGCAACCGGTGTTCAGGCGTGCAGGGGGAGCGACCCTGGTTTCCTGAGTGGGGCTGGGAATTTGCTCCCGCAGCCCCCGCCGTCCCTCGGCCCAGGAGGGGTTAGAACGTGTCGATCTTCCCAATAAAGTGTGTCACACAGTGTGTGTGTGTGTGTGTGAGCGTGAGCGTCTGGGCATAAACCCGGGGCACTGGCGGGTGTGGAGGCGGCGACCCGACTGCAGTTGCCGGGAGAACACGCAGCGTCGCCCTGCTCTTCCTGGGCCACCTGCCCCTGGGCCCGCCCTCACCTGGGGCTGTCCCTGCCCAGGGCACCTGGGAGGCGGAAACGCGGCTGCCCAGGGCCATGGAAGGAGGCCTGGACTGGGAGCCCGAGCCCTGGCGGGGGCCGGCCCCCCTGGAGGCCAGAGCAGGTGGGAGAGCTGGGCAGTTGGCAGCCTTGTGCCCGGGGGCGGTCGGGTCCTGGGCTCCCCCTAACCACGGCATGGGCAGGTTCCGGGTACCGAGACGAAGACACGGGCGGGGAGCCCCGGGGCCGGAGGAACCGCAGCCCCAGCCTCTTCGGAGGAGAGGGTCTGGAGCGGACCGCCTGTCACCTGGGGCGGGGGGCTCCGAGCCCCTGGGTGAGGAAGAAGCAAGTTGGGGCCTGGACCCCTCGACCCTGGGCAGGGTGGCCCTTGGCCCCCCAGCGGGCGAGTGCGGGAGTCTGGGTTGCTGGGCCCGTGGGAAGTAGAGGGCAGGAAGTCCAAACCAGCCCCGACAGGCGGCTGGGAACCCCGAACTCCCGGGTCCGAGGGCGAGGCCGGGCCTGGACCCCGCTCTTCGCCCCCTGCTCTCCTCCTAGGCCGGTCGCTGGCGTCCGAGCTGAACAAGCTCCCCAGTGCCGCCACGCTTCGGTACCGTGGCCCTGGGGTGCTGCCCTGGGGCTCCCTGGAGGAGGAGGAGGAAGGTGGAGGAAGCGGCGCCCGGCCCTTCGCAGGTGCGGCCGCACCGGAGCCGCGGGACCCGCTCCCTTCCCGGGAGCTGCCCTGGCCCATGCAGGCGAGGCGGCTGCACAGGTGAGGGCCCGCCCTGCCCCCGGCGCCCCTGCACCGGGAAGCCCCCTCTGACGGTGCCAGGGCTCCCGCCCGTCTGTGCTTTGCCCTCGGCCGCGCAGGCCCCACGGGCGGGGCTGCCGCTTGCTGCGCGCTCCGGGCGGACTCAGCCACGCGGACTCCGCGCTGCCGTGCCCGGCTTCCCGCAAGCTCAGGTGCTCTTCTTTTGTAGCTACAGAGCCCAGGGTTGCCAGGCCCGCGTTTTCTCTGCTTCCCTTCCAGGAAGAACCAGGCCAGGGAGCAAGGGGCCGACAGCCCCGGGTCCAGGGTTGGCCACTGGGCCCGGCGGCTGGCCAGGGGCCAGGAGAAGACGAAGGAAGGCCTGCGCAGCCTGCAGCCCTGGGCGTGGACGGTGAAGAGGATCGGGGGTGTGTGCGGGGCCGGGGAGCAGGGCTGGCCCGGGCCCCCCGCGCGGGGAGAAGGAACGCGAGCGCCTCTCTGCCGCCCCCTGCAGGCCAGTTCGGCGGCGGCACCCGGTCCTACTTCTCCCTGCTGCGCTTCCTGCTGCTCCTCAACGCACTGGCGTCCGTGCTCGTGGTCGGCCTGGTGCTGCTGCCCACCTGGCTGCAGGGGCCTCCCCCGGGCCCCCCCGGCCCCGGCGCCTCCTCACCCTGCGGCTCCTACAGCCCCCACACCCCCGGCCTGGCCACCTTCCCCTCCCAGCTCTTCAACTTGCTCTCTGGGCAGGTGGGTCGCGGTGATGTCCCGCCCTGCCGGCCGGAGCGCTCAGGGGCCGTCTCTCCCAGCCCGGCCCCGCACCACGCGGACCCGCAGTGACCCCGCCTGCCTCCCCTCCCTCCCCAGGGCTACCTAGAATGGTCCCCCCTTTTCTACGGGTTCTACCCGGCCCGCGGGCACCTGGGAGTCACCTACCTGTGCTCCGTCTTCGTCACCGGCCTCATCTGCCTGGTGCTCATCCTGCGGCGGTCAGTGACACGCGCACGCTGGCCCCTGGGCCCGAGGGTGGGAGCGGGGCTGGGCGCCTGCCCGGGAGTGCTTGCTCTGTGCTCAGGCCCCCGAGTTCGGTCAGTCTGCAAGGTGCCTCTTGCGTGTGAGACTAAGGACACAAAGAGCCCCCCCAGCTTAGAATATGGTGGAGAAAGCAGCGTATTCCACGGGGACACAAGTCAGCGGCCTCCTGAGGGGAAGCAGAGCTACACAGCGAACCAGGAGGGGTCATTCATGCATTCATGTTGCAAAGCTTGGCACACACCTGCCGCGTGCCAGGCGCTGGGCCGTGTCACGGGGGCGTGGTGCTTAGCAAAACAGACAGGAAGCGACAAACCAGCCCCAAACAGTCTTGTCCTCACGCGGCGCGGTGAGTCTGTTACTTGGTCCACCCAAGCCGGCCGGGCCGTGGGTGAGGGAGACACGCAGTGGCCGGGCTGCCGTATTCATAGGTGGCCCGGGGAAGCTGCATAAGAACCTAACGAGTAAGCAAATTCCTGAGCAGGTGAGGGCTTCGGCCACGCACACTCCTGGAGGAAGAGCGTTCGGGGCAGAGCGTGCAGCGAGATTGATTCGGGAGCCCGGTGTGTGTGGGGGAGGAGCTGCAGAGTCTAACCCTCACCTAACGCTTTCATTCTTTCTAAAAATGATCCCCCTGAGCCGGGCACCATGGCTCACCCCTGTCACCCCAGCACCCGGGAGGCTGAGGCAGGAGAATTGAAAACTCAAAGCCAGCTTGGGCTCCTTGGGGAGGCCTTGTCTCAGAACCAGAGAGGTAACTTAGCGCTCCGGCGTTCATCCCCAGTACTTCAGAAACCAGGGAGAGCTTGGCAGGTTCACACCTGCGTCAAGAACGACGCTGAGAACTAGAGCAGCACTGCCCACCCGCTCAGGGAAGCCGCCACCCTCTGTCCACACAAGTCGCTGCGGCCTGCGCCTGCACCTTACACACGTGGAGGTGCCAGGTTTGACTGAGTTGAGGGGATTTCCTGATCGGCTGCGTGAGTGCGCCCGGCCCCCCGCCAGGCCCAGGCCCCACCCGCTGAGGAGGAAAGGAGATGAGCAGGCTTGCGGGGGTACCCGGAACGCTGGTTTTGAGGTGCTCTCGTTTCGGTGTTTTCGGTGGTACGGAAGCTCATATCCAGGGAGCTCCGTCCTGCCCGAGCGATAGAAAAGGAACACTGACAAGGGCTCGGGCGGGGTCTGATCTGCAGACACACCAGCGGGGCCCGCTGGCATTCAGGCGCGCAGGGAGGTGGCCAAGAGGGAGCGCAAGCAGCAGTGGGGTCCCCTGCCTGGCCCAGCGGGGCGGTGCCCCGTGAGGCTGCTGAATACGCAGGCCCAGGTCCGTTCTTTGACTGGAGAGCAACGCTAGAAACCAGACGCTAGGCACAACCGCTTCTGCTGCGAACGGCCAGGTCGCAAATGTTTCCACCTCTGAGAGCCTCTAGGAGAGGACTTGAGCTTGGAAAAGGAGGCGGCCGGGCTGGCTGTCCCAGGAAGGAGCCGAGCCCCAAGGGCAGGGAGAAGCCGTGGAAGAGGGTTCACACCTCAGAACATGATCTGATTTGCACGGAAAGAAAGAAGCCGCCCAGCTCAAGAACAGAGCATGGCTTCTCAGAGGGCGCCAGGCAAGGAGTCCTCTGTCCTCTCCAAGAGAGCTGTGGGGGCCTGGCCCAGGGCGCTGAAGATGGACACGGTCTGTTTCTGTTTTGTTCGAAATAGCGTCTCACAATTTAGTCCTGAGCTGGCTACATTTAGTTCACAGGGCAGCCCAGGCTGGCCTCAAACTCCCAGCAGTCCTCCTGCCTCGGTCTCCTGAGTGCTGGAGTTAGAGGCTTGTGCCACACGCCTGGCTTTGCACTCGGGGTCCTTGCTCGGCTCTGCGTGTGGCCCGTTTTCCGGTTCTCAGTCCCTGCTGAGTGTCCCCGGGCGTCCCCGCACCCGCTGCTGGGTCTCCGGCTCTTTCCCAGGTCCCTCTCTCCTGGGTGTCTGTCGTCTTTACCGGGCTCTGTCTCCGAGTCCTTCTTGGCCTTTGCTCCCGTGACTTGCTGAGTCCCTGCCTCTGCCTCTTCCTCTACCGGGTGACCGCTCTCCAGATGCCAAAGGTCTGGGCGCCTGTTTTGCAGGAGCGCGGGCCCCGCCCCAGCTGCGCTGCTCGTCCACATCTGTCTCCCCTCTCACAGGTCGGTGCCGGGACTGAAGCAGACACTGCTGGCCGAGTCGGGGGCTCTGACCAGCTACAGCCACCGGGTGTTCTCGGCCTGGGACTTCGGCCTCAGCGGGGCTGTGCACGTGCGACTGCGCCAGCGCATCATCTTGTACGAGCTGCAGGTGCGCGTGGGGGCGGGGTTCCACCTCGATAGGGACCCAGGGACCCGTGCGACGAGGCGCGGGCCAGAGCTTTCTGGTAAGGAGGCCCTGCCAGGGATCCCGGAGGTCGGCGGCCAGTGGGCGTGGCCAGGCGGGGCCGGCGGTAAAGGCGAACTCCGGGCGCGAGGGGCGGGCCCGGGGTGGGGCTTGGGTGCCGGCGGGTTTGCAGCACCCAGGGTCCTGTGGCTCCCCGGAGCGATGAACCAGCCCTGCCGAGGTGGCCCGAGGGTGGGAGGGGGCTGCGCAGCTCAGCGTGCGGAGAGGCTCCGGCCTCTCCCAGGACAGGGCATCGGAGCGGGTGATGTGTGTGCGGCCAGGTGGAGCTGGAGGAGGCGGCGGTCCGGCGCAGAGCCGCGGGGCGCACGCTGGGCCAGCAGGCCCGGGTTTGGCTGGTGCGAGCGCTGCTCAACCTGCTGGTGCTGGCGCTGCTGGGCGCGGCCTTCTACGGCGTCTACAGGGTCACGGGCGAAGCCGGGCAGCTGCAGGTGGGTTCCGGGGCCGGCACGGGCGTCCCCGCGGGTGGAGGGCGGGGCGGAGGCCCGGCGTCCCTGCGATCTCAGGCAGGACGCTCGGGTCAGGGGTGGACCCCGACCTCAGGGTCCCGAGGCAACCGGAGGCTGGCGGGACCTCACGCTCCGCTGTTTCCTCCGCCCGCCCACCCGCACCCCGCCTCCCCAGGACACGCCCTTCATCCGGCAGACGCCGCTGCTGCAGCTGCTGGTGAGCTACCTGCCGTCCATCTTCATCTCCACGGTCAACTTCGTGCTGCCGCTCGTGTTCACGCTCATCGGCCCGCTGGAGGGCTACACCCGGAGCCACCAGCTCGTCCTCATCCTGCTCAGGTTCCAGCCCGAGGGGTGGGCTGGGGGCCAGGAGGACGGGGAGCGGCGCGGGCGTGCTTGGGTCTGCGGGGCGCGGGGACACCGGCGCATGGGGCCCGGGAGTCCAGGCGTCGCTGCCTGTGAAACGCGCAGGCCGCGAGCGCCCCCACGCAGGAGGACGGACACGTGTGCGCGCCGGGCGCCGACCCTCCCTCCTCCCTCAGGACCGTGTTCCTGCGCCTCGCCTCCCTGCTGTTCCTGCTCTTCTCGCTCTGGTCTCAGATCACCTGCGGGGGCAACGCCCAGGCCGAGGCGTGCAAGGACTGTGGCTACAACTACAAGGAGCTCCCGGTGGGTCTGCAGCCCGGCGCCCCTGGGGCTGGAAGCAGGACCCGGCCCGCGGAGAGGAGCCGCGGAGCCCGGGCGCTGGACAGACAGCTCCTCCGGGTGCGGGGTCCTGAGGCCTCAGCCATCCCTTCCCTGCTTCCTCAGTGCTGGGAGACTCGGGTGGGCCAGGAGATGTACAAACTGCTGCTCTTCGATCTGCTGACCAGCCTGGCCATCGCGCTTTTCGTCCAGTTTCCTCGCAAGTGAGAGCCCGCCCCGAGTCCCCGCAGTGTGGATCTCGGCTCCCACCACGCACCTCTTTCTGCCTCGCAATCCCCTATCATCGCCCTGGGTTGCAGGCCACGCCCCCTGTCACCTCTGACCCCGCCCCTACCGTTTCGAGTCTTCAGGCCCCGCGGGCCTAACTTCGCCCCCATGGACACGCCCCCTCGATGCTCCTTTCCGATTGGTCGGTGGGGCGGAGACCCGCAGGGGACACGCCTCCAAACTCCCTCCCCGCCCCTCAGGATATTCTGCAGCCTCTGCCCGGGCGCGCTGGGGCGCTGGGGCGGGACGCTGGAGTTCCAGGTGCCCGACGAGGTGCTGGGGCTCATCTACGCGCAGACGGTGGTCTGGGTGGGCAGCTTTTTCTGCCCCTTACTGCCCCTGCTCAACACGGCCAAGTTCCTGCTGCTCTTCTACCTGAAGAAGGTGAGGGGCGAGGGGCCCCGGCTGCTGGGCCAGGGGAGGAACATCCAGGGGGCCCCAGCAGGATGGCGCGGAGCGCAGAGCCCGGGGTCGGAGCCACCGGCCGCTTCCTGGGTCCTGCGCGAGGGCGGACCCGAACTCCTGCACGAGGGGAGGAGACACCGGAGACGTGGGTCTCAGAAGCCCTCCTCCCACCCTCCCGCCAGCTCACTCTGTTCTCCACCTGCTCCCCGGCCGCCCGCACCTTCCGGGCCTCCATGGCGAGCTTCGTCTTCCCCCTGGTCCTCCTCCTGGGGCTGTTCCTCTCCGCCGTCCCTGTGCTCTACAGCATCTTCCTGTAAGTGAGCGGCTCCTGCCTCCTCCCTCTCCCTCAGCCGGGCTCAGACGCCTGCCGCCGGAGCCCAGCCTGACTCTGCCTACAGAATCCAGCCTTCCAAACTGTGTGGCCCATTCCGGGGGAAGGCGTCCATCTGGGCCCCGATCCCTGAGTCCATCGAGACCCTGCCTCAGACGGCCCAGAACTTCCTCTTCTTCCTGGGCACCCAGGCTTTCGCAGTGCCGCTTCTGTTGGTCTCCAGGTGCGGGGGCCAGCCTGCGGGTCGGAGTGTGCGTGTGATCTGCGTCCGGGAGAGGAGGGGCTGGGCCTGGGTCCGGGTCTGGGGGTAGGGGCCGCGAGACTGGACTCCAGAGGCTGCAGGAGGAAGGGCTCGGCGTGCGGTTCCGGTTTCTAAGGACCGCGGTTGAAGGTAATCAGGAGCGTCTCCGGAGTGGCTTTTCTCCCCGCCCCGCAGCATCCTGATGGCGTACACCGTGGCTCTGGCTAATTCCTACGGACGCCTCATCTCCGAGCTCAGACGCCAGATAGAGACGGTGAGCAGGCCGGTCCCGCGGCGGGGCTTCCGGGGGCCTGGAGGGGGCCTGTCGGGGAGGGCGCGGCTCACCTGCACCCCCGCCGCAGGAGGCGCGGAACAAAGTGTTCCTGGCCCAGCGCGCCGTGGCGCTGGGCTCGGAGAGCGGCCCGCTGTGAGCCCCCGGCTCGGATGGCGTCCCAACCTCAGCCTCACTGCCCCCGACCCTGGCAACCTTCGGTTAGGTCGCGTGGAAAACGGCGACGCGCTTCCAGCCTGGGATGCGGAGACTTCCAGGCCCTCCGCCTTCAAGTCCCTCTCTGTTGAACCTCTTTTATCAATAAACACTCCAAAGCTCCTGAGTCCTTTTTGGAATCTACATTCTGAACGGCGCTTCTCTTGTGGACCTGACCCCTTGGCTTTCTAGTGGGCTTGAAGGGCTCTTCCGTCAGTGGGCGTGGCCTAAATGTTAACCAATCGGCGACCGTACCTGGCGGCGTCTGGGCGGGGATACTTGTGATTGATTCAACCTGAGAACGGTTGCTAGGCAACAACAGGCGACGGCTCCGGGAATGGCTATGATGGCGGGAGTCTCAGCCAATCATCCCTCCCTACAAAATTTGAGGGCGTGTACCAATTACCCCAAAGCCAAACCGTGGCTGAGAAAGAGCAACAAGGCGGGGATATCTTCTGGCCAATAGGAAGTGCTTGAAGGCGGGCCTGCCAGTCTGTGGACGGCTACGGCGCCATGAACATCTTGCCGAAGAAGAGCTGGCACGTCCGGAACAAGGACAATGTCGCTCGCGTGCGCCGTGACGAGGCACAGGCCCGGGAGGAAGAGAAGGAGCGCGAGCGGAGGGTGCTGCTCGCTGAGCAAGAGGTAAGGTCCGATTCCGGCCGAGCGGGGCTCCCGCGGCCAGTCGCGCGGGCGCTGCGCGCAGGAGCCGGAAGCGGGCGCTGCGCAGGCGCAGTGTGGCCGCGTCGCCGAGGGCGGCCCTCCCGGTCCCGGTCCGGGTTCCCGGAGCGGCTATTTCGGACGTCTGGAGCTTGGCACGGAGTGGGAGCGTTATATACATTCGTGTGCATGGTCCAAGGAGTTTCTGACTGGTCTGCCCGCGCCGCTGTGTCCTGAGCGCCCACTGACAGTGCGGCCGCTCGCTGCGGAGCCGCGACTTAGGAAACCCCGGGGAGCTCCGCGCGCGCTGCTAAGGGCGACGTCAGGTTGCGCGGAGACGCCAGGCGGCTTCAGATAGGAGGCGCGGGGAGAGGACCGCCCTGCGCCCGGACACCCCCGCAGGAGGTTTCTTGACAGCTTCTTCATTTGTTTGGTTTGCACCTAATTTTCACCCCCAGGGCCTTCCTAGTTAACCTGATCCTCAGCAGTGGCAGGACAGTAGCTGAGGTTGTTTATTTTGGCTTTGGGTTTTGTTTTGTTTTGGGTTTTGGTTTTTTTTGGTCTTTTTGAGCCAGGGTTTCGCTATGCAGTTCAGGCTGGCTTTGAACTCGCGGCGATCCTCCTGCCTCAGCCTCCCAAGTGCTGGGATTACAGGCGTGCGCCACCATGCCCAGCCTGCCTAGGGCTTTTAAAATCACGTTCATCAGCCCATTATCGTGTGTAACTAAGATTAGGAAATTTTAAAAACAGAATTCACACTTATCCTGGGAAATTGCTAATCGACTTGGACTCACACCTGGAGTTCAGACTGCCTGCCCGAAACGAGGTTTAGCAGCCTTTATGTGCCCCTTTTTTATTTTGATGCTGGGGGCTGGACCTGGGGCCTCGCCCGTGCCTGGCAAGGGCTCTGCCACTAAGCTGTGCCCCCGGGCCTGTGCGTCCAGAGAACACCTCCAGTTTAGGCCAGGGAGTTCCGCCCAGCCGGCCTTCTGAGATTCGGTCTTGCTGTAAGCTCAGATTGGCCCGAAAGCCCTGGTCGTCCTGCCTGCAGTTACTGGCCCGCTCCACCGGGGCTTGCTGACGACCCCCAGCTGGGACAGGTGCCTCTTCGCCGGGCTGCACCCCGCCCAGCCGGCGTGGTCAGGCTTGCGCTGCTTGAATCACTTGATTCTGCAAGCTCCGCCGGTAACCCGCTTTCCCCCAGGCCCGCACAGATTTCCTGCGGAAGAAAGCCAGGCAGCGCAACGCGCCACCCGCTGTCGACGCAGCCGAAGCGGGAGCTCCAGGTCCCGGCCCTGTGGACCTGTTTCGGGATCTGCTGGTGGAAGGAAAAGGGGTGACCAGAGGCAACAGAGAGTACGAGGAGGAGAAGCGGCAGGAGAAGGTGAGCGGAAGGGGGGCTGCTGGCCGTGCCTGGGCTGTGCGGATGAAGTGCGCGTGCTGGGGCGCGGGCGCTCCCGCCCAACTGGCACCGGAAGTGCGGCTGGGGGAGGAGGAGCCCCCCCGCCCCCGCCCCGTGTGACTCAGCTGCGTGCTTCGCGCTCGGGGCTCCTCCGGGGTCCCCCAAGCCGGGGCGCGCCCTCCAGCTTGCCCTGCGTCCCGGCCCCCCTGCCCTGGCGGCGGCGCGCCCTGGGCACTGACAAGGCCCGTCCCGCAGGAGCGGCAGGAGCGG